GCTTCTCCCCAGTCATTCCGGGTCTGTGATGCTCCCAGCTGTCAGGACATCATTTCAGTTCCAGGCTCTGTACAAAGAAGGAAGCGATAAGTTTCAGTTTGTGTTCCCAGATTCCCTGCACAAATCAGACACGTTTCTTCGGGCATTTCCATTCTGATCTTCCTAAAGCTGGAGGATGATGCAAACCAGGGAAGGGGGATGAGAAAGTTGTGAAAAGAGGAACAACAGCAGGAAAACAAGGCCAATGCAAGGAGCCATGTAGACTCTCCACGTTGATGACCAATACCCTGAAAAGAAAGGGTTAAATCACAGCCTAGGCTCTCTCTGTTGAGCTGCTTGTCAGCTACAGAGCAAAGTTCATCCTCCCGTCCAACACTGCTCCTGGTCTGATAACCCCCCCTCCCCAGACTGCCCCCCCTTCCACCACTGGCCATGCTCAGAGTGCCAGAGGCAGGGGGAGGAGGAGGGAGGTGCTGGCTCAGCCTCCTCCAGCAGACCCTTCCCCTCAGGAAGCCCTAATTCTCTGGAACCCCCACACAGGGCCAGGCAGCAAGAGAAGGGCAGCTCAGAGAGTCACGCAACACGACAGTGATCGTTTCGCTGCCTGCAAGGGTTTTCTTTCCACATCAGAAAAAGTGCCTTGGGGTGTTAGGGAGTAACAGATCACTAAACTTTGCGGAAGGGCTTGACTACAGCTGGATCACAGCTTACATTCCAGGTGCTGGCAAATGGGGTTTTGCCTGTGTGCCCAGGCACGAGCTGAGCTGTCAGAGAGCAGAGCTGCAGTAAGGAGTGGGAACTGGAATGAGGGGCCCACAACCTGACACCTAAAAGCAGATTGACCAAGTGAGAACTCAAAGGGAGGGGCAGTGACCACCACACAGTGCCTAAAGGGGCTCCAAGAGAAGCGGAAAGGGACTTTGGACAAGCTCTTGGGTGACAGGACAAGGAGGAATGGCTTCCCACTGCCATAGGGTAGGGTTACATGGGATATGGGGAAGAAATTCTTCCCTGTGAGGGTGGTGAAGCCCTGGCACAGGTTACCCAGAGAAGCTGTGGCTGCCTCATCCCTGGGAGTGTCCAAGGCCATGCTGGATGGGACTTGAAGCAACCTGGTCTAGTGGAAGGTGTCCTGTAGGATAAGATGAGGTGTAAGGTTCCTTTAAACTCAAACCAGTCCGTGATTCTGTGAGAAATGTCTCCCCACTGCAGTCTCTGTGGAGAGCTCACAGGGTCCAGAGCCCCTCGGTTAAAAAGGCAGTAACAAAACAACTGGAAATTATTTTCCTCTGGCACGGAGAAGAAACTACAGTTATGAAATTACAGCAGGGCAGGGGTGGATGTACCATTAACTGACCATTTCGTTGCCTGTCTGCCAAGAAAATATTTGCTGAACAGCAGCAAACAGCATTACAGGCTGCCACAGACAGGGCAGTTAAAAATACCTAAGGGTACCGGGTCCAACACTTTTACCAATACAAAGAGAACTACTCTTCATCCTTACAAGCAATTGCCTTGGCAGATAAGGTACAACAAACACCATGGCCTGGCTAAAACAAAGTCAGGATTGCTTTAATTACAATTACAGCATTACTGGGTTCACTAAGAGTGCCATGATTAATTCACAAAGCTTCCTGCCCAGGAATTATCTGCAAACAGAACCTATGAAAACAGGACTTGGTTCTTGTTAAGTAAGTTAAGTTAGTCTCACTAACTCAATATTTTATTAAAGAAAAAAATAAAGTCTGGTCAATGCAATTTCCTGGTGAAGCCTGAGGGTTTAGTCCATACTCCAAATTCCTCTGCCATCCAAGGACAGAAACAAGCTCCCCATGGGAAAGTGAAGGACTGCCGGCAAAAAACATTCTCATTGCTGCAATAAGGAAAACAAAATAATAATAATGAAGTATCCTTGATTTTTATGTAGTTTCATGTACTCTGGTGCTTTGGGTTTAGAATTTCAGCCATAACCCCTTGAGGAAATAGCTGCATTTTCTCTGGACTCATTACAAATAACTCCTCTCACTGGGGATCTGAATTAGAAAGACAAAGTCCTAGGGCCCATGGACACCAAAAGCCCCTCCTGTGTGGAAGAGGGAAGGCATGGTGGCATCCCCAGGGATGACCAGCACAGCCACAATTCTTGTTCTGCCAACACGAAAGTTTCTCTCAGAGCATTTAATTCTTACAGAAATTTAGACCAGGGCCTTGCTCAGGGCAGGGATCCAGGGATCCCGTCACATCCATTCAACAACTCTTGGATGATCTTTCAAGTAAATTCTCCCAAGAACTCACCTGCTCTCCAAACCAAAGCACCAGTGCACCAGGTTCCCTCCCAGCTCCCACAGCCAATTCTGCACTTCACCTCTGGAACAGTCCAGACTACCCCTCACTGGTCCCTTCTCACCCTGCACAGAACAGCATTTTTTGAACTTCTGCCTGGAAATCCAAGCAGGGGATACCCAGCAGGCTGTCCCCTGCCCTCTGGTTAGTCTGGGCACAGCCTCAGCCTCCTGAACACAGAACTCAATTTAGCACAATGCTCCAGTTAAGGTCCTTTTAAACGTTGCCCTGTCAGTCCAGTCCCCAAAACCGCTCTGGCTGCAGCTGAAGCTAAAGATGATTCCCTGGCAAACAGAAACAGGGCCTTTGTGTCCCTTGGCCAGGGCTGTGTCCTGCCCAGCATGTTAATGCCTCAGCACCCCCTGGGAACCATCCGGAGCGAGCCCCAGCTGCTCACCAGGGTTGCCTGTGGAGATGCTCCCAAGCGGGAAAGCACGAGATCCACAATCCCACTGCGAGGCTCCAATCCGGAGCCCTTTCCCTGTGCCATGACACCAGCCCCAGCTGGCAGCTCCCCTAGCAAAGTCCTTAAGCGTTCACTTCTTAAATTCACTCCGGGGTGGGAGCAGTGACAAAGCCGAGGAGGGGGCAGTGTTCTGAATACAAACCCGGGGGGAGCTCTGGATACAAACCGAGGGGGGAAAACTGTGGATATAACCCCAGGGGAGGGAAACTGTGGATATAAACCCCGCGGGGGGGGGCTGGATACAAACCTGGGGGGAAGAAAGGATCCGGCTGGCCCCAGCCTCGCCCAGAACTCGCAGCCTCCCGGAGCAGCTGTCGCTCAGTAACCGCTGCGGCACAGACACTTCCTTCTCCAGCACCCCCAGCCCTGCACTCAGGAGTCCCCCCCCACGCTCCTACCCCCCGGGCGAAGGCCCCAGCGCTGGTCCTTCGTCTACAAAAGCTCGGCCGTGCGAATAGGAGCAGAGCTGGGCCTGGGGACCCGCTCAAGGTCACTGCGCGGGCCACACTCGTCCCCAGCCCCGTGTCCCGGGAGTGTCCCCGCCTGGCCCTGGGGCGGCTTCGCTCCCGCAGCCCCGGGGGGGGTCCAGCCACTGCCCCGGGGGGTTCCAGCCCCTGTCCCGGGGCTCCTCCAAAGTCGAGGGGGTCCCGCAGTACCCGGTCCCCTCCCACACCACCCGCGCCCCCCCGATCTCCCTCTGCCCCCCCGTTCCCCACCTGCAGCTCCGCCGTCCCTCCCCACAGCCCCCCCACACCCCCTCGGGGCCTCGCTCAGCCGCCGCCGCCGCCACCACCCACGCCGGCCCCGCACCGGGCAGAGCCACCACGGTCAGACGGCTCTCCCCGGCTCCGCAGGCCCGGCCCCACCGCCCCCTCACCTTCGGCAGCGGGCGGGACCCCCCGCTCGACCGCCAGCACGGCCCGCTCCGGCCTCGCAGCCCCATGGCCGCCCTCCGGCCGGAAGTCACCGGTGGCGTCAGCGCCCGGGCGCCGCCGCCATCTTGGGCAAGGGCTGAGGCCGCGCCGGAAGTACCATGTCCCGGGCCCGCAGTAAAGATGGCGGCGCCGCCCCAGGAGGTGGGAGGGGTGCGCAGGGAGGGGACGCGCGCGCCTTAAAGGGACCGCGCCCAATTCACTGCTCTTAAAGGGTCAGCGCCTGTCAGCCTGCTGCGCGTGGGGCCTGTGCTTCCTGGGGGGAATTCTGGAAGGGCCGGAGGCACGGCGGCAACAGGGGACAACAGCAGGGATGCACGCAAAGGGAGGGAGCGGTGGGCGGGTGTAAGAGAGCCCTCCCTCCCCGTCCTCATGTCATCGCCCCTCATTTCACCCCTTATTTCACGTGCCCACCTCGCACACCTGCACGCATATCCCACATGCTCTGCACACGCATGTGCACATGTGTGCATATGTGTCACGCCCTGCACGTGCCCGAGCTGCACGTGAACACGTGTCCCCCTCACCACACACGTGTCCCTCAAACACGCCTCACACATCCCCCCACGTTGCCCGAAAGGCCTGGGCTGGCGCTGAGCCCGGCGCTCCTCCCTCCCCAGACCCAGCAGTGCCATGCGTTGAGTTTTCCTTTTTTAATAAAAAAAGCAAAGGGCGGGAAAATTTACAGCTGGTTTGGCTTAGAAAGGGCGGATCAAAGGCGTTGGAAATGGGGGGGCAGCTGGGGAGGACTGAGGGGGCTCCACCGCCCCAGGGCCATGCAGTGTCCAGGAAGGGGGTCTGGCAGTGCAGGGTGGGTGCCCGTGGGGTTGGCCCATGGAGCCTGGCAGGCTCAGCCTTCCCTGTGTTGAGGTTTTAATGGATCCTGGGGGTATTTCTCTGGGTGACACCAGTGACAGCATCTGCCATGTCCATCCATCCATTCCCACCCCACATCCTGGCCCCACAGCCATGTTCCTTCTCTGTGCCATGTCCTTTCCCTGTCCTCCTGACCTGCCCTTGCCCCCTGCCCTCTCCCTCTCCCACCACCTTGCCCCATCCTGCCCCTGCTGCTCCTAGGGCCCACCCCACCCCCTGCCCCAGCATGTCACCTTATGCTAAAACACGTGTATTAAATAAAAAAAAACAAAACCAAAAAAACCCCAACACAAACCAAAACAAGCCCCCACCCCCCCCCAAAAAAAAAATCAAACCCCCTTCACATTCACATCCCCTCCCTCCCACCCTCCCCAGGGTGTCCCCTGACAGTGTCACGCCGTGTTCTGCCCCGGCACGTGGAGCCGGTTGTTGTCCACATCGATGTCCCCATCGAGTTGGAGGCAGCAAGCATGGGAGCCTTCGTCCTCCTCCTCCTCCTCAGCGGCAGCTCCGGGCGCCGGGGGCTCTCCAGTGCCCCCGTTGAGGGGCACCTTCTCCCGGTGGCGGGACGGGGGGCTGTGGGGAGCGCTGCAGCCCCGCACCTTGCTGCGGGCCTTGAGCTGGTCGCGGTAGGCGAGCAGGGCCAGGCAGGCAGCCGCGGTCACTGTCACCACCAGCAGCACCGTCACCGTCACAAACTGCGACCAATATGACACGGGGGTGCCAATGGCCGAGGACCCCCAGGCCAGCTCCTCCTCATCCAGCCCATCCCCCAGGGCCACCTCAGCAGAGCCTTTGAGCTGATAGTGAGCCACGGTCCAGGTGTAGCCGTTCTCCATGGCCTGGCACTTGTAGATGCCGGCTGTCCCTGGCTGCATGATGACCACCAGCGTGTGGTCAGGCAGTTGCATCATGTTCTCCTGGGCACTGCTGGGCTGCTGCCAGCTGTAGGTGGCCAGTGCAGAGTGGCGAGGGCACAGCAGGTGGACGATGGTGTTTGGCTGGGGGTTGAGCACTGCGGGTGTTGAGAGTGGGGTGAGGCAGAGCACCCTGTGTGACCCATACCACCCCATGGGCCACATCCCACCCTGTGTGCCCCATCCCACCCCATGGGCCCAATCCCACTCTCTGTGCTCCATCCCGCTCCATGTGCCCCATCCCGCTCCACGTGCCCCATCCCACCCATGCCACCCATCCCACTCTGTGTGATCCGTTCCATCCCATGTGCCCCATCCCATTCTGTGTGCCCCATCCCAACCCATGCGCCCCACCCTGCCACGCTCCCGTACTCAACCCTGTATGGTGGAATCCTCTGGTGGCCCCCAGGCCCGGGGCATGGCCACGCTCCTCCCACGGTGGCATGTGGTGGCCGGGCTCCCCGTCTCGATGTCCTGCAGCCACATGCTCCTGCAGCCGGGAGAGCGGGGTCAGCACCCCAGTCCCCTCTGCATCCTCCTTCCCATCCTCATCCTGGTGCTCACCTGTCCTCAGTGGCCATGTGGGTGGGCTGGCAGGAGCCCTCGGGGCTATGCCAGGCGCAGTAGGGGTCCCGTGCCAGCACACACTCGGCGCAGCTCCGGTGCAGGCTGCAGTTGGCCAGTGGGACCTGGAGGACACCTCTGGAGTAGCCCACATAGATGGTGCCCTGTGGAGAGAGAGGTGTGTGGCTGAGCCACCCCCCAGCCCCCACGCCAGGGTTGGGGTGGCTGTTGGTTGGTCCCATTTCTTACCTTCCCTGGGGCCAGCAGCAGGTTCTTCACTGGCTCCGGCGTCCGGAAGAGCTCAATGCTCTCCACGATGTGGGGACCCTCGGGCAGCTCCACTGCCTTATGCAGGAGACCCTTCGCTGCGGGGCACAGGGGACATCACCAGGGCTTTGGAGCCAAGGGAAGGGTCAAAGGGGTGGCCCTGTGTGCACCCCCCATAAACCCACCTGTGGCCAGGAACAGGACACGGTAGGTGGTCCCTGAGATGCCACGAGTCTCATCCACTGCAATGCGTGTGTAGGTGACATCTGACTTCACCAGGAGTGGCCTCCCCTGGATGGGTGACACCTTCTCATCCATCAGGAAATGGTCTTTCATGAAGGTGAGGGCTTTGTCTGAGGAGGGAGCCACGGAGCACTGCAGGGAGAGAGGGGTCAGTGCTCTGAAACTGAGGGGAAACTGAGGCACAGGGAGGGGAGGGTGTGCTGTGTCACAGCGCTGCCCTGTGCCAGCATCCTGCTTGCAGTGTGAGCACACTGGGCAAACTGTGACACACAAACCCCTTCCCTTGGGAACCAGCATTGTCCCTGGAAGGGTCGAGTCCCCCAAGGTGGGCAGTACTCACACTGCCAGGCCGGGGACTCATGTCAGGGCCACTGTAGACAGTCCAACGGGAGCTCTCCTTGTTCAGCTCCTTGTACTTGCCCTCGAAGACCTTCTCCAGATCCTTCTGGCTGTAGGCACAGACGGCGGCGCTGCCCGCCCTGCCTGCCTGCCTGTGGGGACATCCAGGTGGGCACCAGAAGGCTGCAGGACCCCAGGCACCCATCACACCCCTGGGCACTCACCACTGCGAGGTGAAGACGGCATAGAAGTCGGCGCCGCCACCATGGCGGGGCAGGGCAAAGGCATGGTGGATGACGTTGAAGGGGAAGTGGCCGGGCTGGGAGCACACGAGCTGTGCCTTCAGGAATGTCGTCCACTTCTTCTGCAACACCTTGTCCCCCCCCACATCGCTCTGTGGGAGTCAGAGGGTGCTCAGGAACAGGAGCTGGATACCCCCATTTATCCCCTGTCATTGTCCCCCATCATCCTGCCCTGTCTTCATCCCTTGTCATCATCCCCCATCACTGTACCCTCCATGGTTCCTGTCATCTTTATGATCCCCCATCATCATCCCCTGTCATCGTCCCCCATCATCGTCCAACTATTGTCCCTCATCATCACCATCTCCATCATTGTCCGTGTCTTTCTCCCCTGTCATCACGCCCCATCATTGTGCCCCCATCGTTCCCCACCATCACCCCTCATCATTGTCCCCTGTCATTTTCCCTCATCATCATCATCTTCCCCCATCTCTGTACCCTCATCGTCCCCTGTCGTCATCCCCTGCCATCGTCCCCTGCCATCACCCCTGCACCTACCTTGCAGACACGGGCCACCCGCGGCACCAGGAGCCGCTCGAAGAAGTCGAACTCTTCGGCCGTCTCCTCGAAGAAGAAGTAGACCTTGTCGTCCCCAGGGATGCTGAAGGAGGCCACGAAGGCAGCGTCATCTACAGGCATAGCCGGGGCAGGTGGGTGAGGAGCTGGAGTCGAGGGGGCTGCAGGCACCCCCGGCACAGGTGTGTCCTTCCCAGGACCGACCCTCTGCTCACCTGAGAGCCAGCGCAGGAAGGCGTCTGTCTTGAGCAGGGTGCGGGTGCCCAGCGAGCGGGAGATGATGGGCTCGTTGCCCTGGAAGTTGTTCATGGTGCCAGTGTAGAGCTCACCATCTGCTCGGGGACAGGGCAGAGGGGTGAGCCATGTGGGGACACTGTCACCCTCCGCTCCATCCCAGGGGTGTGCCCACCCGTGGGGCCACTGGCCCCGTACTCACCCACCAGCAGGGCCGTGTAGTTGTGCTGGGGGTCAAAGGGGCACTGGCCCTTCCCATCCAGGAAGGGTTGTCCTCTGCTGCTGGACACCAATGTGAAGTTCTCCAGGTGCTGTGGGAAGGGGAGAAAAATCAGCCAAAGGAGCGAAAACAACCTCAAATCTGCAGGGAATGGATGTGGAATCCCTTGCAGACATGGGGTGGCCTGTGTCTTCAAGGTGAGTGCAGGGATGATGACAGGGGACGACGGGGGGTACCCAGCTCCTGTCACCTTTCCCCACTTTCCTGTTGGGGAGTGATGGTCCCCATCACGTCCTCAGCCAGGGGGAAACTGAGGCAGGGACAGGGAGCCTGGTGTCACCTGAGGGGACCAGAACCCAAAATCAGAGTTTCCCTGCCAGGGGAAGAGTCACTGGCAGCTGAGTGAGAATCACTGGGTGCTCCTTTATGGAATACAAAGATGCCCCTTGTGGGGGGACACCCAGCACTCCCCATCCCGGGGACACCTCGTGATGTAATTCACTCCTGGGGCTGTATTTTGTGGGTCCTCAACAAACACAACCTGCCCAGAGACCCCCCCAGGCCCTGTCTTGGGAGGGACACTCACGATGTAGGTGCATGCAGGGCTGAAGGCATAGGTCCCACAGACGTAGAGGTGAGTCTGGTTCAGGGCCACCAGGACTCGGATGAAGTTGAAGCACTCGGTCTGGGGGGGAAGAGCAAAGTGGAGGCTGAGCACCCCGGCAGCTCTGTGGGACCCCCTGAGCCCCCACAGAGCCATCTCACCTCTTGGCTCTTCTTCTTAAAAGCACACTCAGAGGTTTTCTCAGCCGTGGGTCCCCACATTATCTGCAAAAGGAATGGAAATGGTCCTGGGCTGTTGAGCCCAGCCCCAGTAGGGGAACTGAGGGAGGAGGGGAACCCCTCCGCTTCCCCGAAAGTGACGGCTGCTCACCGAGGCTCTTGCACGGATGCTGCCGGGGGTGACAGTGAGGGCCAGCACCCGGTCACGTGCCCCCACATACAGCTCCTCCTCACTCTCATCCAGGAGGAAGATGTCATAGTGTGAGACGTTGTCCTGGCTGAAGTGGGTGAGGGTCCGCCGTGGGTCCTCTGGCAGGAACAAAGGGGGTGACGGGGGCCAGGGGACACACACACCTCCCACGCCCACCATCACCCCCGGGCGGATGTGGTAGCAGCTGCCACCATGGCTTGTGTCACCTCTAATGCAGGAAATGGGGTGCAGTGCTTGCCCCGCAGCTCCCACATCACAGTCTCCACTTCCCACATCCAGGTCCCCACCTCCCCCTGCCTTCTCCAGGTCCTGCTGCAAGAGCTGGATGTCTCAGACCCCAGAAATGGGGTGCGTTTTCCCCCAGGCTGTGCCTGTGATGCTTTGGGGCCAAGGCCAAGGGCAGTGCTCCATTTGGGGGATGCACTGCCCTGGGATGCCAGCCTGGGCGGGGGTCACAAGCCCCCTGGGTGGCCCCAGACACAGACAGGGACTGCAGCTTCTTATTTGCCCCCACCAGGCACCGAAACGGGGGGGGGATTTTGTAATTCTGATCATGGCTGTGTGGGAAATGGGAAGTGACAGCTGGAAGGGCACAGCCCCGCCATGGGGCACAGACCCTCCTGCTGCCCAACCATCACCCCACAGCCCCCCAAACCCCTACTTTGCCACCTGCCTTTCAGCTGGACACACTGTGCCTTGTCCCTTTTCCTCTCCTAAGGGTGACCCTGAGCAGACCCTCAGTGCCAAGTGAGTGACAAAATGGCTCTGCTGGGTCTGGCACCCTGGGGTGAGTCCCCAGCTCCCCCTCCCACAGTTGCTGGGGTGCCAACCAGCCTAATCAGATCCCCTCACCCACTGCATCACCTGTGGTCACTGGCACAGTCCCCAGCCCCACATGGGGGTGAGGAGAGGGGTGATGAGGCTGTGATGGGGAGCAGCCCACAGCTCCTGATTCTGGATACTCAACCCTGCGGATGGACACTCCCCCAGGCCAATGCTGTGTGTCCCCCTCCCCAGCTGTCCCAGCCCTTCCCAGCCCTCCCCCTCCTCCCCGGTGTCCTACTCACCGCTGGGGAAGGTGATGCGGGGCAGGGGCTCGGTGCACAGCATGGCAGCCGGCACCACCACCCCGCAGAGCAGGCGGAGGGCGGCGGGCATGGCGGGGGGCGGCAGGGATGTGCCCCGAGAGGGTCCCAGCACCATCCCTGTGGGGAGGGAGAGGGTGAGGGCACGCGCTGCTGGGCTGCGTGGCGCCTCAAACCAGCGGAAACAAGACGGGGAAGCAGCACCCGGAACAGAGGGGGAGGATGAGGGGGTGCCTCAGTGCCTCGAGCCTCGTGTAGCCCCCCAGTACGGGTGAGAATTTCCCACTGCTGCACCAGTACAGTCAGAGATGTCCCCTTGCCCTATGGGGCTCCTGCACCAGGACCGCCCGCACAGGGGTGTCCAGATGCTCCAACCTTTGCCCCCGCAGAGCCCCACGGTGCCCATCCCTGTCAGGGGTTCCTCTGTCCAGCTCCATCATTGGCCAGAGGATCCACAAAAAGGAGCGGGGAATACACGGGGTACCCCCCTGTTGCAGCTCTTTCTGCAGCAGAAGCGATGGGGAAAGAGCTGCATCTCAAGAACCTCACAGCCCCCAGGACCCCTTGCTCGTGGCCACTGTGTGCCCAGCGAGCAGCATTACCTCTCCGGCGGGCGCCAGCAGAGCGGCTCACCTCCACCCCTGGAGCACCGGCACCCGGCGGGAGCCTGAGCCCTGGGGGCTGCGGGCACAGGACCCCCGCGGGCCCATGCCCCGCGTCCAGCTGAAGTGTGGTCCCGCTGCTGGACCCCCAGTGCGGCTCGTGCTGGGCTCGCTGTAGCCCAGCCCAGCCCCGCGTGGCCCTGCCAGGACTGTGGGAACCTGAAAGTCCTGCTGGAAGAGGACGAGCCTCGGCAGGTTGGGGCAGAGGGTGCCTGCGCCCGCCTCCCTGGCCTCGCACCCCCACGGGGACGGCAGCGAAGCCTGGTGGAGGCAGCTGGGATGGGAACTCGGGGTGCTCTGCTCCTCCAGCTACGTGCCCAGTGGGTGGCAGGGGGTACATGGGGTGCCCAGATGCCTGGATTCACTTCATACTTTGGGAAAATCTTTGGAGTGAGAAAAATAATGGCATTTTTCCTGTGGGCTGTGAAGATCGACAGCGGGCCTGAGCATCACCCTGAAAAACAGCCCCCCAGGGCTGAGTATTGCTCCCCACAAACTGCCCCCTGGGGCCAAGCATCACCCCCACAAGTAGCCCCCCAGGGCCGAGCATTACCCCCATAAACAGCTCCAGGGACCAGGAATCCATCGCCCCCATGAACAGCTCCATGGGGCTATTACCCCCACAAACAGCTTGCCACGCCTGAGCACTGCTCCCACAAACAATCCCTTGGGGCGAAGCATTGCCCCCACAGACAGCCCCCCCAGGCCCAAGCATTTCCCCCACAAAGCTCCTGCAGCTGTCCCAGGAACCTGCCTCTCTGGGGTCTCCATCCTCCACTCCAAGCTGCAGGCAAGAAACCCACCAAAGCCAAATCCCTGGGGTCCCCTGAACAGCACAGCCACACCTGAGGTGCTGCAATGTCCCTCTCCAGCTGAGGCTGAGGAGCATCCTGCTCTGTTGGGGCCTCCTTACCTGCCTCCCCCGGTGCCCACACCGGCCCGCCGGGACACGGAGCCCCGGGAGGGCAGTGCTGTCCCCACCACCTTGCTTGGCTGGGACAGAAGCTCCTTGTGAGCACAGAAAGTAGGTTACTCTGCCCCGGATTTCCCACTTGGCGAAGGGCTGGCTGAGGGACGGGGCCACACGGAGCCTTGGACCGGCCGCATTGTTTTGCCCTGGGCCAGAGCCATCGGGGCCGCAGAGGGGGAGGAGGGAGTGGGAAAGGGAGCAGAGGCTCCTCGGTAAGGCTGAAGGCTCGGGGAGGGGGCTGGGGGAAACACCCAGTGTTCTCCCAGTGTTCCCCAGCACAAGCCAGTGCTGACAGGATGTGAGGCAGGAGCAGCCTCAAGACTGCTTTGTCAGACTGGGAAACCGAATCCCTTCATAGCCCTGAACCTTCTCTTTTCTGGGTCCCCTGGCCACAGTGGTCTGGGGATGTCATGGGTGTTGTCATTACAGCCTCCCCGTATGGGATTTGGCACATGGGAGCAAGTGTCACCAAGGGCCTCTCAACACTGGGGTGGTTTAGTTTACCCCTCATGCTTATGGGCTGACCACGGCCGTGGCTCTGTGGATCTCAGCCCTGCTTGGATCTCTTCTTGGAGGATTCCCTGTAAGCCAGGGGCAGAGCCAGGCCCAGCCCATGTGCTCAGCAAGGTGAGCTGTGACAGTGTGGGGCAGCTGTGCAGCTGGTGGCACTGATCTCCTGGCTGCCCAGACCTTCCCAGTGCCTCAGTTTCTCACAGCAGGGTCCTTCTCTCCTGCTGGTCTCCAATTCCCTGCCCATGTCACCTCCCAGGAGCATCCCTGTGGCATGGGGGCTGGTGCAGAGATGCTCCCAACACCCAGAAGGGGCTGGGACAGCTCAGCTTGGAGGAGGCTCCTTTGATCCACCCCCCTCCCAGACCTGGAGCAGGGTGTGTGTGTTTAGGGAGATGGAAAGCAAGGGAGGAGGAGGGGTGGACTAGAGACATGAGAAGATGAAAGGGAGGAATCTGGGGGGTGAGAGTGCAAGGGGAGATGGGAGAGGATTCGTGGGGGGGGTGATACAAAGGGTGGGGAGAGCTGGGGGGGTGCAGGTTAGAGAGAGAAGGATGCACAGGAAGGAGCTGGGGGTAAGAGGGGGTGTGAAGGGGTGCACAGGACCTGGGGGAGGCAGAGAGGGGAATGTAGAAGGGATGTGAGGGCAGAGTGCAGGGGAGTCCGGGAGGGTGCGAGGGGGGGCGGGGGACTCTCTCCGGGGCCAGGATCTCAGCCCCTTTGTCGCTGTCTGGCAGCATCAGCCCTGGGGGTCCCCAAAGCCCAGCCCCTTTATGGCCACTGCCCCCGCCCCGCTCGGCCCCCAGCCCCTGCGGAGCCCCCCCGGACACTCCCGGCCGCCCCGGCCGCCCCCGGCCCCGGTCCCGGTGCGGAGGTACCGACCTGCGGCGGGCGGGCGGGAGCAGCATCCCCCGGCCCCGCATCCGGCTCACGTCGCCATGGCTACGGCAGTACCTCGGCCGGCCGCGGCCCCCCCGCGCCGACAGACCGACGGACACCCCGACAGACGGACACGGGGCTGCACAGCTCGAACCCGCCCCGCATCGACAGAGCGACGCACACCCTGACAGACGCACCCCACGCCCCGTGTGGGCAGGGTGGGTGCCCACCAGCACACGCGTGGGCACCCCCCTCACCACCCCACGCGCACCACTGACACCCTCATCCCCTTGAGGTGCAGGGACACGCCTCTGCCCCCACACGTGTCCCGTGCAACCCCTCTCCTGACACACTCCTGTGCCACCATAACTACATTGGGGCCCTTCACCCCAGTTTTGCTCTCTGCTATCGGCAACAAGTCCCTGCACCCCCATCTCAACACCTCCAAATCCACACTCCATCCCTGCGCCCCCATTTTTGCACCTCATGCCAGCACTCCGATATCCACATCCTGTCCCTGTAACCCCACCCTTGTCTCAGCCCCCCCATTCCCACTCACCCATCCCAGACGAGTGCTGCTGGCTCTGGCTTCCTGCACTACCCGCCTTTGGGGTGTCCCAGAAGGGGGTTTGGGGCACAGCAGTGGCACCAGGCCTCCAGTGTGTCCCCCCCCAACAGCACCCACAAATTTTGGTTGATGACACTTTGCCCCTTGGAACTTCCCTTTCCAGGAAATCTGACCCTGCTGGTGCCAGCAGATCCCACTTCTGCTTTGGAACTTGCCCCCTTCTCCTTCCCAGAAGTGTGAGAGTGGGGTGCCCTGAGCCCCAAAAGAGGATCCTCAGTCCCCACTTCCTCCCTCTGCAGCCATCGTCCCGACACGACTCCGCAAGTGACTTTGCCCCCAGACCCCACTGCACAAGCACACACGAGGCACTGGGAGGTGCCAGTCTCTGCACAAGCTGGGGTGCAGTACCAGCACCCCCAAAAACAGCAAGCCTGGAACAGGCCCATCGATGGGGGTACCTGCCCTGCTGGGGCTGGGGAGCAGAGCCAAGTGCCCCCCCAGTGGCTCCCTGGTTCCCGTGGTGTTCGGGAGCCTTTCCCAGGGAAATGTAAGGAGCTTGTGCCTCGTGCCTGCCAGCACTGGAGGCTTATCTGGAGTCTGGTGTAGGGACCTCTCCCACCTCACGGCTGAGCCACAGGCCCTGAGCCCTCCCTGGTTCCCTCAGGGGGGTAGGGGTCCCACAACATGCAGCACCTTGGGGTGCAGCCTCAGGGAGTGGCAGCAGGCACAAGCTCAAATCTTAACTCCCCTTTGGGATTAGTGGGGCAGCCTGACCTTAATCCCCCCCAGTACGCAGGGGCCTGGAGGGGCCGGCATGGGACTGGCGGGGCCCCCAGCACTTGCTTGGCCATGCCCCGGCTGGTAAACTGGTGGCTGCCAGACACTGGGGTCAGTCCCAGCTCTACCCCATCCCAGTGATTGCTCCAAGGCTCCCTGTGCTAGACTTTCCCCCAAAAAACCTGGTGGTCCTCAGTGTGTACCCAAACCCGGGTGCTCCCACCCAACCACGCACCCCAGGGCACCTCTGCAGAGACTGTGACACTCAGTGCACAAGTGAGCAAGGCCAGGCCATGGCTCCTGCTCTGGGCTCCCATCTGCCTCCTAACAGACTCTGGGAGAACCTGGAGCAGGGCTCAGCCCCATGGGACTGAGAAGCAGGAGAAACCCCACATTGACTCAGTGCTTTTGCTGGAATGGGGCTGGAGCTCTGTCACGGGCTCTGTCACAGTCCCCATAGGGGTGTGTGAGGTCTCTGTGGGCTGTACATGCTCCCCACGGGGCTGTGCAAGGTCCTTGTGGGGTATGTATGGTCCCCATGTGGCTCTGTAAGCTCCTCATAGTGTGTCTATCATCCCTATGGGGCTCTGCACTGTCCCTGTCCCTGTCTGTGCAGGGACCCCACAGGTCTCCAGCTCAGCCCTTCCCCAGTGTGACCCAGCCCAGGGGTGTCGGGACACTGGGGTCCCGTGGGGGGTGCAGGAAGGACCCGGGGCATTATTTCCTTGTTGCATTTCCCCATGGCAGTTCCCCATGGCAGTTCCTGTGTCTCCTGGCTTGTCTCCTCCTGACAGCATGGCCAGGCAGCAGCACAAGGTCCCGGCTTCTCCGTGGGGCTTCTCCCTGCCGTTCCAGAACCTGCTATTCTTGGCACAACCTCATAACTTTTGGGGCCTGGCAATGCCAGGCTAAGAGCTGGGATGGATCTCCATGGAGGGGATGGGCTGCAGCATTCTGGGGGTACCTGCCCCAGGCATGCCTGAGCTGGCAGAGACAGGGGGCCAACGGGGCACAGGCAGGGGGCCAGTGTGTCCCCTGCCAACCTGTGAGAACCCACCTCTGAGAACTCCTTGTACCCCTCTCCTGGGAGGGGACATGGCATCTCACTGCATCCCCACAAGCCCACCTGAAGCTGGGAGGTGGCAGCCATGCCCCAGAGACCCCCTGACACCCCCTACCCTTGTGAGCCTCAGCCCTGCTGCACCCAAACCCGGGATGATGTGGCCCCGTGTGGCTCGGGGGGACCCAGGTGTCCGAGCGCTGGGGTAGGGGGTACCCCCAGGATGGGCACCCCAGGCACCTACCTGGCTGTGCCTGCGCCCCGGCCGCCCGCCCGCGTCCCCTCACATCGCGGCTCCCCAGCGCTGTGCCTGGTAAAGCCGATTATGTGCCGGCTTTAAGGCTCTCCTTCTCCCCGGCATCGCCTCCCACCTCGCTCCAGTGCCTGGCACGGCCTGGGGGCAAAGGGGATCCCCCTGGCTGAGTGTGGGGGTCATCCCTACGGTAGGAGGAAACCTTCAGTCAGGGGCTTGCTCAGGTTCTGCCCCCTCCCCAGGCCATCCCATCCTGGGAAATATCTGGTCCCCAAAACCCCAAGGTACGGCAGGTCTGAGCCCTCACCGCAAATTCCATCTCCTCCCCACCAGTCCCTCTCCTGGGGCTGCCCGAGATCTCAGCATCCCACCCTTGGATAAGTCAGGGTGTGGGGGGCCACCTGCTTCCCCCCATCCACAGTACCTGCTGAGCCCCCACCCTGGCTGTGGGGCTAAAAGAGATCCTGGGGGGATTCCTGTGCAGCACCTCCAAATTCCCCCTGGGCAGTAATGATGACAGCACACAGCGTGGGAAGGGTTTGGCTGTATTTTGACTTTGGAAGGAGATACAGGCAGTAATACAGAAGCTTTGCAAGCATGAATACAATACACGGCCTCCCCAGATCCCGCTGGAGCGGGGGGTTTGTCCTGGGACCCTGATCCTGCCCTCCCCTGCACTTGAGGCTGGGGGGGCTGCAGGCATTCTTCAATCAAGGCAAGAAGCCAAGATCTCTGTCAATGGCTGGATGGACTTCTGCAGAGGGGGAAGCTGCTCCTGCCAGATCCCAAACTCCCCCTTGCTCAAACAAAACACCTTCCTTGGTGCCTTCCTGGCAAACCAGCCCTGCCTGGACTAAGCATCCTTCACCTCATCCCTGAAACAGTTCCTGAACTCTGGCCACCAGAGACGAGTCCAACTAACCACAGTCGAGAAAAACTGGGGTGAACCCTGTCAGATGCAGTGGCCCCCAAAGAGAGGGACCTGGAGGGTCCTCCTGGTGCTGAGCCTGCAGGAGCAAGGTCCATCACCCCAGCTGCCAAATCCATCTGGTCCTGGGATGCAGCTCTGGTGGGTTTTCACTTCCCCTACTCCATTTCCACTTGATGCCATGCGGGGTCCAGCGGCGTTCCCAGCCTGGCCCCTGCCTCGGCTAAGGCACAACTCGGCTGCTTAAAAAAAAAGAAAGGGAACCCAAAGGGCACAAGGTGCCTGGGATAGGGAATATGGGGAATACAGCACGTGGAGCGCTGGGAGTGCAGGCAGGCAGGGGGCTGGGGAGGGGCAATGGCCACGGAGATACATGGGCATTGCCTGCAAGCTGCCAGGAGCCCCCACGCCAGCACCACCGGGAATCATAACTCAAAAAAAAAAAAAAAAAGAAAAAAGGGAATTTTGGCTTCAGATCCCAAGAAAAAGGGTTGTAAAGGCACTGTGCTCCACTCGAGACAAGACAGCAGCCCCGGTGGGGATGGCTGCACTTCTCCCAGTCCTATGTAAAAAGCTTTGGCAAAAAAGGTACGATCTAAAGAGCATTTCAGCTGTGATCTCCTCCTGCATGGCTGCTCCGTAAACACGATTCCTTGCTGTCTTTGGCTGAAGTTTTAAAAAAATTGTGAAGCTGAGGAGCTTTTTTTTGGTTTGGATTTTTTTTATATAGAAATAGATTTTTTCTTTACAAAAAAAAAATCAAAGCATCTTTTAGCACTTTTAATATATATATATATATAAAATTCCTGCTATAGAAAACAAAAATCCCCAAACTTGGGTTTCGATATCTTTTTTTTTTAAGGGAGAAAAAAATCTTTCTTTTGCTTTGGGGGAAAAAAAAACACCTAGCTGGAGACGGGCAGGAACCACAGGAATGCGCCACAGGGTTACATGATGCTGCAGTTCTGCACAGCCTGAGCCTGGGAGGGAGAAGGAAAAAGAAGAGGGTTAAGAAAAATCCAGTGTCACTGTTTGCTCTGGCTGTGAAGTGTCAAGTGGGATCCTCCGCACGCCTGCAGTGTCTGGACTGTGCGTGCCCAGGGCTCGCCTCCTCCCTGGCCCTTGGGGTGCAATAAATAAACCCCCCCAGGCTGGGGTGTTCATAGTGGACAGGATGGGATGGGACAGGATGGGATGGTGGGGGGAGCCACTATGGCCACATCCCTTTCCAATCCCTCTCAGAATCTCCGGTCCCTTACAAAGAGGCTTGTGCAAGGCCAAAGAGGAAGAGCAAAAGCAGGGTGAAGGACAGGAGGGAGGGGATGAGACCCCTACAGCGCTGCCCTGTTGAGAACGGACAGCCTGGACCCGGGGTCTGGGAATGGCACTGACCTGCCTGCGGGGACTGGAGTTCCCCAGGAGGTAGTTCCTGGTCACCAGGCTGTCCCCGAGGCCAATGCCAGAGTCGCCCATGCTGCGGTAGCTGCGGGTGACGGTCACGCTGGAGGTGGAGGAGCCCGAGGACATGGTGTTGATGCCGGCGTTCTGGGTGCCTGACTTGTCAGCGGGCTGACCACACGTGCCGCACACGATCGTGCGGGAGCGCAGGTTGTATTCACCGGGGTCCCCAGAGCCGCTGCAGCTCCCCTAGACATGAGGGGGGACAAACAAAATGACCTTGAGCCCCTGCCCAAGTATCCTCTGCACTGAACCCCTGCTCTGAGGATGATGGTGTGACCCCGGGGGGACCTCTTCATGTTAGTCCTCGAAGAGGGTCCGCACTCGCCCATCCTCTTCATCGTGTGGTTTAAAAACAATAAAACAGAATTGTTATTTTTGTATTTCTAATCCCAAGTGACTGGGGCTGGTGTGATGCCAGTGGGTGACCTGCCCCGCTGCCCTGTCCTCACACCCCAGGCTCTCAGCACACCTGAACTGTGCTCCTCTGAAAGCATCCTCTTTTTCACCGCCTGGTGAGCTGGCAGCTGTCCACAGGGAAACTTGCTCTTGGAAAAGATTCAGCCTTCAGATGAATGGGCAGCACTGCCTGCAGGAGCTTGGCTCCTCTGTCCAGGGATAATCAATGTAGAA